CATGCAAAGGCTGTAGGAGTTGTACTCCAGAAACAGATTCTAATGGACATCTTAACACCAGACGAGAAATTAATCATTGCCAAAGTGCAAGAATCATTAAACACCAGTTCCTTATGTGACTTAGAGGATGATGAAATAAGTAATGCAGGGACAGTACAGCCTGATCCATGTCAGACACAGTTAAATCTACTGCTACTGAAATTGTATAACTGCTTAGAGACACACTGTCAATCTGGACTGAGCAAAGCAGCACCAGCAACTACAGTTCAAGAATTCATAAAGGATGCTGTTAAAAATTATCATGGAGATAATTGTGAAGAACTCATTGAGCTAAACAATAATTGAAGAAGAGGGAATACGAACATCCAGAAAGTGACTTTAATGGTGATGTACTTTCTCTATGGCAGGCCATAGAAAACACAGCCAATGAAAATATAGGAAAGCTGCTGTATACTCTACATTCTTATATCTACTTAACAGTAACCTTCCCACTGAACACAACACGTATCTCACATTGATTTTTCACATTACTTTCTCAGATATGTTAAGGATAGAATGCTAATGAGATTCAAATTCCTTATGATAAGCATCACAAAGTGTCCTCATAGGTGAAAAGTCACCAGAACACACAATATTCTGTCAAGTATGAAGTAATATGAAAATGCCAAACGACCCTGCCAAATATGAAGTACTGATTTTAAAAACAATACTTGCATTCAATCGTGGACACAAGTGTATTTTCTATGGCATGGTATAAAATAGTTATGCAACATTTTCTTGTGGTATGCCATTGAATAATCTGCTTGTTACTTGTATTAATTTTGTTTGCATGAGCCTACCACAATGGGAATTTCACATAAGATTTTCCACTTTGGGGAAGGCTATTTTGTAAGTCTGCAAGCCCCAGCCGCGAACCACGGGTCTCTTTTCACAGGTCCCAAAAGATTCCTGCCAAAAAATCCAAAATAAAGGCATAATGCCCTAATATGGTATTTATTACATGCGGGGTGCCTCCACTGACGCCAAACTGACCAGTCAGAGACCAGTGGGAATATGCAAGGAAAATGGAACAACATTTTCTGATCAAACCGGACCAGCTAAGAGGAATGGCTCTTACCAGTTTTTATTCCTTTTCTGAATTTTCTACTTAAAGTGCTACTGAAATGAAATTTTTGTACGTGAGATTTTTGCTTAGTAATAAAGTTTTAACCTTACTTGGAAACACTGCAGACTTTATTTTCGCATACGGTAAGGGAAAGCTGCTTTTTCAGCCGTTCGAAGTTGGCTTGTTAAGCCCAAAATTGGCAGCCATCTTGTTGCAGCCAAAACAGCCCAGTGACGTCATTGGTTGTATTACTCTCATGCCGCAATGAAAATTTTGAGTGATTATAGGAGAAGAGAATACTCTTCGAAGCCCCCCCAAAAACATTTTAAGGACATCTCAGAGCTGTAAAGCAGATAATAACAGTAGACTTAGACATGAAGAGGTGGAGAGTTGATCCTGGGGCTTTTCAGTCTATTTAACTGATATTTGCAGGATATTTTATGTAAGCAAGCAAACAAGTGCAGGTTCTTAAATCGCAAAATCATTGGGACACTTGGTGAAATCGCCAGCACTCTCGGGGGGGGCAACTCCCAGAAGAATTGGGTGGGAGTGTGCGGCCTGCCTCCCAAAACCCTTACCCTATTTATGGCCAGAATCTGCGAGATTCCCTACCCTATTTATGACCTGACCAGAAATTTGAAACCCTATTTATGACCTGACCCTAAAACCAACACCCTGTTTCAGAACTGAGTTAAAATTAGTTCCATAGTTCAGAACAATGTTAAATTGCCGTAAACATAATTTGTGAAGGGCTTTTGTTGATTTTCTTTTCGATAAGGATGAAAAAGTGGCTTCTTCTTAAAAACAGACCCATATCAAGGCTATGGTGCAAAAACCATACCCTATTTATGACCAAAATGGCCAAAATCAGCTAAAATCGATACCCTATTTATGACCAAAACAGCTGAAAAACCATACCCTTTGGGGCCGCACATACCTACATAGCCCATATAAGGGAGTACACTCATAAAGTAAAAAGATCTGAAAACAAGAGAAGTGGCTTTTGAAAATATTATCCGGAGTGCTGCTGCGTGAATCGCAGCAACAATGCTTCGAGTTTTCGAGGCGCTTCACTTCAAGGAAACCGTGGACGCTTTGTGAGTTTCAGCGCGGACGAGATTGTGCTACAGTGACCTTTAGTCCAGTTGTATCTTCTAC